TTTTGGCTTTTTTTTTTCTTCTTCCTTTCTTTCCTTTTAAAGGAAGAGTTATCTTCCATTTCTATTTCGTTTACACCTAATTGCAAGATTGTCACTGTTTTGAAGACATAGACTGACATTTATTGATATTATCTTGTTAGTATATACTAAAACAGTTATTTTCATCGATCTAGGGGGCCTAAGAATCAAAACAAAAAATATTGCTAATTAATTCCAATTTGTTAACTTGTTATGACAACATCAGTCTGGGAATTAGGTGCATATTCTTTCTAGAATCCTAGTAATTTTTAATATTAGAAACTGAATTATCAAGACAAAGAGAATTGACGATATCATTATAGCCTCAAGCTAGGCTGAAGCGCGTTGTCAAAACTAATCCAACAAGGGTATACACAGTCGAATTTTTTATACAGCTATTTCGGTCATGGGATCAGTTCTCCCAAAACATCATCTCACCCCGTGGGATATACTTGTAGCTATTTTCTAGAACAAGATCACTGGATGTGGGCGGTGAAAATACGTTCAATTCATTTAACCATACAAACGAAAATACTTCCGAGAAATATTGCTAGAAAAAGGTAGAAAAGTTGTTCTAAATTTACTGAAAAAGTTCGATTGAAAAATAACCTGGTTCAAGCTTGAGACGCCAAAAGTTATTCAAGTTCTTAAAATATTTTAATCCAAGAACCACCTTACTGTACTAAGAAAAACAAGCTGTTAAATAATGCAAACGAGTCGTAATGCCAAAGTTCAATGACTATGTCGTCTGATCATTCAAGCTCAAAACCCTTTTACTCATTGATAGTTATAGTTAGATAAGCTGTACAAAGTTCTCAAATCTTAATAAAGCTCTTCCAAGATAAGCTCTAGTCTACTGAATTTCTCAACGTATGAACTCATTTTGACTTAAATACTTTATTTCACTTTGAACTTCCTGCAGTCGTAGGTTATTCAGTTCAGTACAAGTCCGGCGTAAAGTTTATATTTTTGTACAGTGTTTCACTTTGAACAGTTTTTTAGCATAATATTCACAGTAACAAGTGAATTAACAATGAATAAATAAACGTTTATAAGACTGAGATTATGAGGAATCTTTAAAAGGGTGCGGTAGTAGATTTGAACGAGTCGAGTAAAAAGCAACTTACCACCTCTAGATGCTGTAGGTGTTGAGCAAGGCGAATTTCCTCTTTCACTGCGGAAAGAAGCAGTACTACCGTTACTAGGAACTGGCGAAATAGGCGTTTTTGGTCGCACTGAACCATCCTTTAGAGACATAGAATCGTCGGAGTTTGTTTCATGCGATCTTGGGACGGAAGCGTTGCAGCAATAAGCCGGTACTTGTCCGCCACCATACGGAAAATGAACTGCGTTTTCTTCACTTTCTTGTTGTCTTCGCAGAGCAACTTGAGCAGCCATAACTCGTTGTCTTTCTGCAATCAGGTTACAATCAGGGCAAGTACAATCCTTCCATTTGCAGAATCGTTTGTGTCCTTTGAGGATGGAAATAACTCCATGGTTTCTGCAGCGAGCGCACTTAGGTGAGCGTTGCTGTTGGGCTGCTGCTGCTGCTGCTGCTTGAGACGAAGCATTGACTGTTAAACTCATTGGAGGCATCGGGGAATGAGATATTTCCTCTTTCTGAAGAATTAAACAAAGAAAAGTATGAATACTCTGTGTCATTGCCAGTTAGATTAAAATGTATGGTCTAAAAAGTCTAAACTAATCAGTGTAGAAAGGCTTGACAAAAATCTCATAAGCTGTTACAATTCTATTTCAAAGTAAGACTCAATCAGCTGAAATCCTTCAAGGAAGTACGTAAGGCATTAATCATTAATTCGTACTCCTAGCAGTGATCAGTTTTAGTAAGCTTGGAGAGAGCTATGGCTGGGCTGGACAATATCGTTCTACAGATACCAGCTTAAGATTAGTGTTAGTGTTTTAGAGTAAAGTTTGATTGGCAACCTGGTCGGCGGTCCCTGGACTGTTACGTTGCCAAAACTCTTGAGAAGAAGTTATAGCGATGAGCAACAACAGATCACTCAGTGCAGTGTCCATCCAACACTAGTGTAAATTGAAATTTCGAATGAACGATGCAAACTATATATAGATCTCTCATTCAAAACAAGCTTCTTCACTTGCTACCGTCAATAGATGGCATCTACACGTTTAGGGCTAAAGTTTTTGTGAATCAGACGATTCCGTTTGACGGCTTGCAAAGATGTAACAAACTACCTTGGATTATAACTTATACTCTATGACCATTAAATGCGATGTCACTGGATTGAACATGAGAAACTCCGCGGCTTTTTATCTTCAATGATAACTTGATATAACGAAACTGAGAAATCTTGTTTACTAAGAGCAATAAAGCTTGCTTTTATTCGAGCAATTTGCTTATTTTCGCGAGTCAGACCAAGCTAGTCAAACCAAGCGCTGATGTAAGCACTTGTAGTATGACTTACCAATATTGTTAAAACATTAAAAGAGGAAACACTGGAGAACAAACCACTTCAATCATGATCACCGTTATTAATGTGATGAAAATATACGAAACACAGATAAGATTGACTGAATTAACTGTGTTTTGTGCAGGAATTAAAACCACAAAAGGTTCATGCAGTAAAATCGTTCAGTAAACTCAAGTTGATCAGTAAGCGATGTTCTCCAAGTTGTCGCTTCAACGAACTTGCCAATGGAAAAAAAAATTTTCAATGACCGGCTAAAAATAGATTGAAATCAAAACTAAAGAATCCAAGGGGGAAAAGACATAAAACTAAAAAAGATACTTGCATCCAATAGTTTCTTTTATGGAGAACTATTGAACGGCACGTCTAGCGTCAAGCTAAGAGGTTTCAAACGGTAAAATCAATTCACTCATCATTGAAAAGAGGCTATTTATAAAATCGAATTGTTTCAGCCTTGGCAAAAAGTGCCACAAGCGTTAAATCCTATTCTCACCTAAAGAGGTATTGTATCAAACTTGTTACACTCACATATACTGATATATATATAAATGTATACATATATATACATACATATACTTATGCATGAGTCAGTCCACGGTATAGCGATTCGCGGTACTCAAATCTCTTCCGCCTATAACATTCACCACTGCGGCTAATCCCAATTTTCGAGTACAGATTCTCGTTGATTTGATGAACTATAATTCCTGGTACGACTTCAAAGCGCGAAACAGGTAGAGGACTCGTTGTGACTAGCTGGAGGACAATTAATTTGTCCGCTATCCCGCTCGCCACGAGGTCAAACTTCAGATCCAACCCAGAAACTTCCCGAAGCTATTTATGACCTAACTATTGTGCAGCACCGGTGCAACCAAGGATAACATGTCGTCAGAAGTTAACTCATCTGCGAATTCTACGCTGCGATATTTTTCTTTGTGAAGCCAATTAGTTCAAAACTATAAGCCTGGAATATTCGAAACACGCAATGATTAGCGATGACGAGTTTTTTGGACATTTCTGGAGAGCACTGTTTTTAGAGTGCCGGAAAATGAATGATAACTTCAAAGGATTAAATTTCTGGATAATGTTAATCTTTTAAGTTACTTGGGCTGATTTTGGAATAAATACTCATCAGCCGAGTAACAATATTAATTTCTTTTTGATTTTACTTGAGTCTCAGTTGAAATTAGACGGATATGAGTCTTTGATACAGTGTAACGATTTCATCTCTCTCTCTCTAATCTTTATGACCCTTGGTAAATACATTCGTTTTCCTTTTACAATTTCCCTGAAATGATTTCTACGTGCGCTGGGCAGTGATCGATACCTCCCGTTAACTTCAGACGAAGGATATAAATAACAATAGAAAAATAGCTTTGCAGATCATCACGCAACACCCAACGTAACAATTAGTAATAATCCAGTGATATAAAACAAAATGTGACAGCTTATCCAATAAACATTAGAAATTACAACTAGAACATACTTTAGTTTTGTGAGTAAAATAACCAACAAAAGATTACTATTATAGATTATAATGACTACACGTTTACATAGTAAAAAGGRAAAAAAAACCGGCTACATTAACTATATATTTAATTTCGACTGTTTTTGACTTACTGGGATGTTGTCCAATGCTGTCTCCAGGATAAGAAAAATAATTCAGGTCAGTGTAATAATGTTGGTGTATCTTTGTTAAGTTGTTTCCACAAATGCATACACGATCAGTGATCATTGACTTTATTCTGTTTTGGGTTCATGTGCAACTCGCTAGTTGAACCTTCCAGAGTCTTCGACGTGAATCATAACAAGTGCGTGACGTCATGATCGCCATAGTAACCCCATTCAGTGTTACCCGTTACATCATTTTGCAACAAAGTATCAACCTCTTCACGTAGCATGACACGATGACAAGATCTTTTAGTGGATTTTCCTGGAACTTTTCGTTTGAGAATCAAAGGATGATTACTTCCCAAACGTCCCGAGTTCTTTACAGATTTTAAATATAATTTTGTTTAAAGGCTATTATATCAACACGACAGGTTTTGCTGCTAATGTTGTTTGTGTCAAACAAAACAATATAAAATTATTTGCATTTTTTCTTTCTTTTTTTTTTTTTCATTTTGGGACCGGAAGTAAGGAAAAACCAATCCGAAGCACGTCTAGAGCAAGCTAGCTCAAAAACACACCCTTGCACTCGTAGGAGCCCAGTAGTATCGCGTGATCTTGTGTTTTGGAGATTTAGAGGTCATCGAGCGGGTCCCAGATGTACAAGACACCTTTCTCAAAATCGTAAGCCCATACTGGAATGTTCTAAAAACTCTCTCCTGACAACTTGAGCTAAATCAGGCACTTGATGACGAACACGAGTCGTGCGGGGCGCATAAATATAAATACCTTATAAAATCTAGAACGATTCTTATTAATAACATCTCCGGTGCAATAAACTGAAATAGCCTGGAGATGGCTGAATTATCGAGAGAAAAAACTTAATTGTTGCATAGATACCAGAAAAGATGCTCTTTGAAATTTAAAAAAGCGCAAAATCGCACATTAACCCATTTGATTGAAGAGAAAAAGATATAAAGTTAGAAAAATCAATTTATAGTTAAAGCTCATTATAAGTAGCCGTGCATTCATTCTTGGCCAAAACTATTTCCGTGCTCCAAGTCAAATGAAACTGTCTCATTACGTTCCATAGCTCACTGAAAATGCAGAGGCCATCGCAGTGAGTGGTCTGACGTTCACTAAACCGCATACTAACGAATATTTAACTTTTCACGAATCACGCACCTTCTCATTTTTTCAGAAAGAAAAAACTTTAGGAAACTTTTTATGCCGCAATCCAAATAATCGTTTTCATTAGTTAAGGAGGAGTTGTAAAAGTTTTCTTGGCTTGAGTTAATCGTTTGACTGGAGTGACCTCTAAGAAAATACCGAGAACAATACTCACGCCCTTCAAGCGCCCCAAGCTGTTGTTATCTTCATATTATTTTTATCACATCGTTTTTTTAAGAAAATGGAAAAGCCTATGAATTTTAACTTACATATGCAGCTCCGCCCTAAAGTGTCCATGAAAAGAAGTATGTGGCGTGCAATCAATTTTAACACAATCCCCCCAATGTATATTCAAATCTTGAGCCGGAGTGTAGGTCACAAATCAGAATATTTTTGGAGATATACACCATAGAATGCGAATATAGTTCTATAACACAGTCATAGTAGTTCTGTTAGCTTGTGTGTCTGTACGATCCGGAAACACCTCCATTTAATACCGATAAAAAAATTAGGATAAAAATTAATATCAATAATCGCTCGACTTCCGGTATTCTTTGCTCATTATTCACTCGACAATCGGAAACAGTTTTTAAGAGACAAAATATTTATTGTCTTCCCCGTGTGACACATTTTGTCTCATAAGAAATATTGTTTCAGTTTTTCGTGAAGTTCCAGACGCAGTTCAAAGTCGAAAGATTCGTCCAAATCAAAATGACTCTAATTTTATCAACTGTAGACACATACTGTATAACCATGTATTAAGAATTGAATTAACTGATGTCAGTAGCTAATTTTAGGCTTCGCCAAACCACTAAAATAAACTATTTTATTAGCATTTTTACAATGTTTTATCAAAGTGAGATATTCTAGAGATCAATCAACATGGCTACTGATGTTGCACGTGAAAGGAAGATATTGTCTGAATTGTTTTCAAGGAGAACAATAAAGGCAGAAAGCGCCTTGCTGTGTTCAACCTTGAACTAGAAGCTTTTGAACTTTAGATAAAATTGCGTTGCAATTTTTCATTAATTCTTAAACGGTTTCGGAACGCGTCCACTTCGATTCACTGCGTACCAAAAGATATTTAAAAAAGCAGAGTTTTTTCACTAGAAATGTCTTAATTTATGACGTTTATGTCGTCCTATGGATTTTAATGGAGAAAACTGTATTTGTTACATAACTTGAATGAGATTTTATTTAATTTTAACGTGAAACTTAGCCAACTACGTAAATTCAGTATATCCTTTAAGTTCGTTGTCGGCAATGTCAGTCATGAGTGGCGGATCCAGGATTTTTCAAAGGGGGGTTCCGTTTCTTAAACTGTGTATAATTCTCTTTTGTTTAGTCGATGTTTGACAAAA